AGGTCCACATATTGTGGCTATATCAGACAGTGACCTGGTATACAGGTCACATATTGTGTCAGCTATATCAGACAGTATCAGACACAGTGACCTGGTGTACAGGTCCACATATTGTGTCAGCTATACAGCTATATCAGACAGTGACCTGGTGTACACTGATTTCATGTACAGATCTCCATACAGGGGTGGTCCTGTCTATAAGACAGTGATCTGATATTCAGGTCTTACAACATTTGAGGCAAAAATGGTTTTAATGCAGTTCCTTTTGTAATAGACCCTTGCTTTCTTGTCACCCAATATACGAACATGAACGAAATATCAATATCTTTAGGCTTCAGGCAACTGCCTGCTTTGTTTCTAAAACAGCAAAGATTCTAGCAAATTTAATTGACAAAAATCATTCAAAGCAGAAAAAGCTCAGTGCACTGCAAAATATCTAAAGGATGCAAAATTTCCACAAGAAATCCATTACCGCGTTCCGCTAGCAGCAGCTGGGGATTCAGTTTCATGCTGGCGGGGAGGAAAGAGTGAGGGCCGTGTGTGAAGCAAGTTCAAAATCATTAAAATAACACAAAACCACAAAACACAGGTTACTGCAAACATGACGACTGCTATGTTTTATGTCCCTCTTGATGTCAAGGTACAAACTCATAGTTATTCAAAGATATAGAATTAAAAAGAACGTGTGCACGAACTGAAAAGACAGCAGCCTTTTGATATGTCATCTTAACGCCAGACCAATGTTATTTCTTGTTTTACAGATTTGTGTCCTCAGAAAACCTAAAAGCAGGAGGGAAAAAAACAAATAAAATCACTAATATTCCTTCTATATACTCAAAGTATTTTACTTTTGGCAATTTACTAAAGTATTTGGGGCAAACAACAATCTAAAAAATTGTTGTAAGTTTTCATTTTGGCCAATAAAAACATTAGGATACTATTTTTGGGCGGGAAAATTAATAAAAAAATTCTTATCCCCTTGACACACACACCGCATGCACACACAATCACACACATGCAAAGACAGATACAAATCAACACACACACCAACAGACAGAAACACTAGAAACACACACAAACACACACACACACACACACACACACACACACACACACACACACACACACACACACACACACACACACACACACACACACACACACACACATATCTCTCTACATCAATGCAATAATCTTGAAGCAAATCTGACCTCAAATTCAATAATGAAAGTATTTCCTTGTCATCGTAGGCCCATCAAAACCTTGGACTGACTATTTACTATCACACTGGCCTCAAACCCATCTCGGGTGGTGGGGTAGCCTAGTGGTTAAAGCGTTGGCTCATCACACCGAAGACCCGGGTTCGATTCCCCACATGGGCACAATGTGTGAAGCCCATTTCTGGTGTCCCTCACCGTGATATTGCTGGAATATTGCTAAAAGTGGCATAAAACTAAACTCAGTCAGTCAGTCAGTCAAACCCATCTCATTTATTGCAGACATAGGCAAGGCTTCTCCTCTTGCATATCCCCTCCATCCAAATGATTGCATGTAAGTACCTGGGTGGGGGCCGACTCCCACGGCGATTCTACATCTTCATCCCATTGACATTAGCTTCTGTTGGACCTAACCACCATATTGATCAAGGGATTATTGGCAAAGTCTATGCAATTACACTAATACGCAAGTCTCATTACAACTGATATACATGAATTCTGATAAAACAGTGCAATACAGATATTGCAACATGGACCACTGCCAAGCTGAGATCAATGGTCTAAATGTCAAAGTCATCATCATCTCTTACAGCATTTTCGACAGAGCAAATTATCATCGAATAAAGACATATGATTATCGGCCAGTTTGTCCTGTCTGTACAAGGCGTGCATTAATGTTGAAAATAAATATCCTGATGTCTGCGATCATGTCATGATAAATGGTCATGATCTCATTTCATGAAGCTTTACAAATTTTACAAATCATTACAAAAACGTTTTTTTCTAATCATCATACCTATTACAATAACAACACTGTGATGACCAACACGATAAACAGGTCTAGTCCAGTCAGTTCTCGATGACTCTCAAGCAGGCGACAATTGCCTTGCCAGGAATCTTACATTACCACTAATCAGCTGATAATCAGCTGATCATGATCCCGAGGACACTCAGTGATATACAACCTCCAAGAACATCCTTGACACACCCACAGACTTCATTCCCAAATATAACAATACCAAGGTACATTCTTTCCACAAATCAAATATTCCATTCAATGCCAATTTTGGGTTCCATAATTAAATGTGTTTTCTCGTCTACAGAGATTGTTCCATTACTCATTACTCTGTGACAAAAAGAACTGGAAATAAAAAACATGAAATATAGGTGGTACTTCTACAAATATATGCTACTGATATCACAAACCCATTATGGCAGTCATCTAATAAATCTCCTAGTTCTGCCTGAAGATATATATTGCACAATGCACAATGAGTCAATGTGTAAGTGACTATGGTTTCATGTTGCTTTTAGAAATATCATGGAGGCAGACACCAGAAATGGTCTTCATACATTGTACTCACGACGGGAATGAAACCCAGGTCTTTGGTAAGATGAGCAAACTTAGTATAAAAATTAAGACTGCAGCTGAAGTTATGGAGAAACTTAAAATGTCAGTAAAATGGAAACATCTTTCTGTAACATCCCAAGGTGTGACAGCATCAACAACATCTGTTATACCCTAAGATGTGACAGCATCAACAACATCTGTTATACCCCAAGGTGTGACAGTGTCAACATCTGTTATACCCCAAGGTGTGACAGTGTCAACAACATCTGTTATACCCCAAGGTGGGACAGTGTCAACATCTGTTATACCCCAAGGTGTGACAGTGTCAACATCTGTTATACCCCAAGGTGTGACAGTGTCAACATCTGTTATACCCCAAGGTGTGACAGTGTCAACAACATCTGTTATACCCCAAGGTGGGACAGTGTCAACATCTGTTATACCCCAAGGTGGGACAGTGTCAACATCTGTTATACCCCAAGGTGTGACAGTGTCAACATCTGTTATACCCCAAGGTGTGACAGTGTCAACAACATCTGTTATACCCCAAGGTGTGACAGTGTCAACATCTGTTATACCCCAAGGTGGGACAGTATCAACATCTGTTATACCCCAAGGTGTGACAGTGTCAACATCTGTTATACCCCAAGGTGTGACAGTGTCAACATCTGTTATTCCCCAAGGTGGGACAGTGTCAACATCTGTTATACCCCAAGGTGTGACAGTATCAACATCTGTTATACCCCAAGGTGTGACAGTGTCATCATCTGTTATACCCCAAGGTGTGACAGTTTCAACATCTGTTATCCATCTGGTGTCCTTATACACTCATACATTACCATTTATCACAAAGACAACCTTGTTACAGGAATAAGAAGTGCTGATTAAACATTGAAGCTGTATCTCTCTCTCTCTACACAAATATACACAAAGAGTGGGATGGTACATCTGAACCTTGACTAACTACTCCCTTCTGTCATAATGAACTTAAAATATATAGAAATCTTAACATTTATTGATCTTAGGAACCTCTTAATTGAACACAATCCCAAGCTCTTAAACATATATACTGTGCGGTCATGTTTGTGAAGGTTGTATAGATTATACTCTGTTCAAGAGTTCATGACATGGCGATGTCTAAACTGGTTCTTCCTGTGGTAATCCCCTGACAATAGGCCATATAGAGGCAACAGCAATGGATGCTATGCTGGATGTTAGGACATTTTACAGGGGCTTCAATCACTTCTGGTGATAAATAAATGAGTTCTTAAGTGTGTAAAAAGAGTTTTCACCGACTGTTGAAAAGTCTAAAACTGCTTATAAAAAGTGTAGCTATTTGTATAGGTTTGTTTAACATATCCATTTAGAGGAAGAATGTTGTAAAAACATACACTCCAATGATGAAAGAATAAACATTTAGTCTTGAAGTAATTTGCAAAATTACATAGTGTACACAGTGTTCTAAGAGTTATCTTCCCTTGTGTGATGATTTTGATTGTATCCCTGTTGAATGAGACTAGCAGTTTTTCTGCTCCCTGCCTCCGATTTTCTTACAGCATCCAATTAATTAAGAGCTGTTTTGTCAGATCATCTACTTACTTTACCAATACCACATTGTCAGATACTCCTGGGACAGCATCTGTCCATCATCTTGGACAGGTAACTTATGCAGCTCTATTTTACACCATGCTCTGTTACAATGTATGGGAGTTAACAAATATGCGAATAAATTTCATGTGACCTCAAGTTACTTCATTACCTTACCATGCAATTTATTGTTTTTTGTTTAATGTTTATAAAACATAACATGTCCACCGGTGTACTGTTTCCTGATTGGTTGGTAATAAAGTGGGCGGGGCTTGTGATGTATATTACCATGTCGCATGATGGCACATTGTGTTGGTGTCCAAATGTTTTGTATTAATGATCTGCAGTTTGAGAAGCCATTATTGTCAGCTTATCTCATTTATAACAATAAAAGTCAATCTCAAACTTTGCCTGTAGCATAAAGGTTTTGGTTTGTTGTTGTTTAACGCCGCACTCAGCAGTATTCCAGCTATATGGTGGTGGTCTGTAAATAACCGAGTCTGGACCAGACAGTCCAGTGATCAACAACATGAGCATCGATCTACGCAATTCGGATACAATGACATGTGTCAACCAAATCAGCAAGCCTGACTACCCCATCCTGTTAGTCGCCTCTTACAACAAGCATGGGTTGTTGAAGATCTATTCTAATCGGATCTTCACATGTAAAGGTTTAAACATTATAATATGGTGTGCATAAAGAACAATGTCCTATCAAAACTTGCCTATGTCATTCAAATGCCTCCAGCAACATCACATATTGGTCTTCAGTGTTACAAGAAGGCAGATTCTACCCTGAGTGATACTGGTATATTGTTGGAAACCGACTAAACAGTTTAGCTCACCTTACAAACTTTCCTATAGCATTCCTCCAGACCCATGACATTCTCCCGTGATACTGCAGACTGGATCACGTGATCAGGCAGCACAAACATGTGATCACTGTCATGAGGCCATCCAGTGAGATTCTCTGATCGTGTCACTCCACTGTTTGCAATGTGTGTGTAACTCCGAGAATTTGTCCTTGCAAATAGAAACAGACACAGTTTTGTAAGTCTATTTCATTTATTAATTGGTTGCAAATGTTAACAGCTGCTTCTATTTTTTGGAACAGGAAGAATAATTAAACACTAAAACATTTTGGTCATTAACCAAGAAACGACCTCCATGGTGTAGTGGTTAGAGCGTCCGCCCGGAGAGTGGAAGGTGGTGGGTTTGATCACCAACCGCGTCATACCAAAACACATTAAAATATGGTACTTGTTAGTCCCTGCCTGGCGCTCAGCATTAATGGGTACAACAAGGACTAGTCGGCGCAGAGTCAGTATAATGTGTCTGAGTGGGGTATTCATGCTTAACTGTGGCGTGGTATTTCAGTGAGCTGCTAGCACTATAAAACCAGCTTAAGTCTGGGCCAGTACAAGCAGCCACATATACACGTGCATGCACGTCATATGAGAGAAATATTCTTAAGTGTGACGTTAATCCCATTTCACCGCACCTCACCATTAACCAAGAGCATCTATATGGAGGTTTCTAATACTCATTATAGATCATTCATAGACCTGGAATCTGATAATGCAGAGTACTTTACGACCATTCTGTCAGGTTAATATATCTTTGACCCTTCCATTAAATTATTTTGTTTTGAACCATGTACAAAAGACACATTGCTTATTATGGCTGTCCAATCTGATGAGATGGGAATAGTGATGACACTTTTGAAACACTGCTTTGGTGGTAATTTGGTGATATTTATAAGAGGACTGAGATATAATGCAAAATTGGTGATGGATAATCGATGGTCTGATTCACGTCTTTGCCCTACACTTACACAAACACTAGCATGTACACATAGCGGCATTGATAGCTCTAAGATTCGAACCACAGACCTTCTGACGTGAAGTTTGATGCCATATCCACATGACCAAAGAGGTTAACAAGGCAAGGATATCAACTGAGGGATGACCCAACACCCTGCTACGTACTCCCCCGTCAACAGAGGGCATGTACTGGCCTCCTTGGGTACACATAATTTGATCAAATTTGATATGAGCATGCTAAAAAGTTCTGTGTAATGTGCTAGACCTACTTGATGAGTTCCTCTACATTGCTTGGGTTCAGTCTCTTGGCCGGCCCCCACTTACGGGCTGACGACATCTGTTCCCGAGACTGGTGCATGGGTCGCTCGGACATGTTCACCTTTCTCTGTAATAAGCAAACCAAGCTCAAGGACTGATACAGACTGATGTATGGAATGTTGCAGTAGATGGGTAGCTATCTCCCTCAGGCTGGCTGTATGTACTCAGATATGGACAACTGCTTATATTATTTTAGGGTAGTATTTGTAGTGTACAGACTTCTTTTCTGAGTTATCTCCCTTGGGTTGTCTGTACATATGAACTGCTGCTTATATCATTTGAGGGTGGTATTTGTACTATATAGAAGGATTTCCTCTCACAGTTATCTCCCTTAGGTTGTTTGTACATACTGACATATGAACTGTTGCTTATACTCTTTGTGGATAGTAGCTTCTTCTCACAGTTATCTCCCTTAGGTTGGCTGCATGTACTGACATACAGACCTTTGTATATATCATTTGAGGGTAGTATTTGTAGTGTAGAGACTTCTTCTCAGAGTTATCTCCCTTAGGTTGTCTGTACCTACTGACATACAACTGATGCTTATATTATTTGACGGTAGTATTTCTAGTGTAGTGATTTTCTAGCAGTGACAGTTATCCCCCTTAGGTTGGCTGCACGTACTGACATACAGACTTTTGCTTTTATCATTTGAGGGTAGTATTTGCAGTGTAGACACCTCTTCTCACAGTTATCTCCCTTAGGTTGGCTGCACATACTGACAAACAGACTGTGGCTTATATTATTTGTGGGTATTATTTGTAGTGTCATGACCTGTTTACACATTTATCTCCCTTGGCTGATTGTTTTGATTGTTATCTCGATCTACCCATTTGGTGATGTCTTGAATCTGACTGTAGAACAAGTCATTGTGATGGAGTACACGCCACATGTAAGGCCTTTCTAAACTTACGTGAACCTTGCCTTCCCTCAACTTACCCGGAGAGGTTGTCCACTGAAACCACGTTTCTCTTCCTTTAGACGCAGGATCTCCACCATTTTCTGAAATATATGTCCAGATATTTGAAATATATCACGGCCACATTTTAATACACATACTGTAATTCTGACATATGTAGAGAGTTATATATAGAGTGTTAGTAGACACATTACCCAGGAACATCTGATGGAAGATCACAGAAATCTAATCATGACTACAATAACCTAAGTCTTATTGATGTAATTCATTTAAATATCATGCAGGAAGAAAAGCAAAGATATGAAAACATTTATGATTAATTGACTAGTTCTTATGATCATGTGAACATATAAACATATCAAATATGTTTTTCGTAAATGAAATTTATCTATTTTATTATGATAAAAAGCAGAGTTACATGGTAACATGAAAGAGCACTTACTGATAGAGAATGTAGACACATAAATCATATACTTTTATAAACTTGTCTAATGATGCCACACAAATCAGACTGTGTCAGTACAAAGTTAAACACAGAACAAAGTGCTGATATTCTTCCATAGAAACATGTATTGCACTTCAACAAATATATCTAAAATTCAGATCATCCAAAGTCAACACATTTAAAATCAACTATGATTGATATGGAAGGTTACTGGAAGAGTTTACACTGTAACAGTGGTTTTCTAGTAACGCAATCCCCCTAAATCTACCTACTCTAGCAGTGGGTGGTATCTTGGCAACCCTGAGCCTTGTGTCACACTCATACTGGTTACAGTCAACAGGGCACCTGCACACCCTGCATACCTTCAAGCTGATTTAAATGTTGATCAATAGGACAAATTTGTTGAACATGCACATTGATTGGACAATCAATGACCACCACACAAATAAAAACCTAGGATCAATCACTCAGGATACAGGTTCACTCTGACAGGTTCACTCATTCTGCCTCTTTGATAACTCACTCACTCACTCACTCAGTATACATGTTCGTTCCCACTGGTTCACTTATTCACTCTGCATCTTTGATCACTCACAGGCGGTGGGGTAGCCTTGTGGTTAAAGCGTTTGCCTGCCACACCGAAGACCTGGGTTCGATTCCTCACATGGGCACAATGTGTGAAGCCCATTTCTGGTGTTCACTGCCGTGATATCGCTGGAATATTGCTAAACTCACTCACTCACTCAACTTCTGGTTATCTCACTCCACAAGGATGTACTGAATTAGCCTTACTCACTCATTTTGGTTCATAACAAACCTCAACTCAGTCACATCTTGTTAGTGTGATCCTCATCCATCTGAGCAGAGACCACATACTCTATCTGATTTGACATATACATTCAGGTTATTTTCTTTAAACTTAAGGACCCTTGAAGATCCGGGTTAGGATTGATCTTCAGTAACACATGCTTGTCGTAAAAGGCAACTAACAGGATCGGGTGGTCAGGCTCACTGACTTTTTTTTTTATAATTGATAATTTTTATTTCCTGCTTCCCCAGAAAAGGCAATAGAGCCAGGGAACTCTAAGGTCCTTTGCAAGAAAAATTCATTGACAACAGGAAAAACAGGATTTTTTTTCTAACAAAGCACAAAACAACAACACCAGACACCACAACACATTCACTCACCAGTCACACTTACAAGCTTCAAATATTTACAGTAAGTTTAGTTCAAGTTCATTCAGCCTATATTTTTCATTAGGGAACAAGAAGAAAGAATTCAGAATCACAGGCTCACTGACTTGGTTGACACACGTCATCATATCCCAAATGCGTAGATCGATGCTCATGTCGTTGATCACTGGATTCAGACTCGATTATTTACAGACCACCACCATATAGCTGGAATATTGCTGAGTGCAGCCTAAAACTAAATTCATTCACTCACTAAAACTAAAGCTGTGTTATCTGGACCTGTCATTCATTCCAACCTGCCTGTACCGGACCACCATGATCACGTGACAGTACTGAATCTTGTGTCGGCCATACAGGGAGATGTGCAACAGACTGTGAACAGACACAGCATGGCCTGTCAGCACTCATTACAGTTCCATGTGTGATACTGTCACAGATTAACACCAACTGATTGAGACCCTGCTGTCTGCAAGATTTGACAGAGTTCTATCACAGATACTATGGCACAAAAAAATAACTTGATCCATACCTCTTGGCCAGTCCATCCCTCAAGTATGTCCATCCTTCATCTCATCCATCCCCTAAACCCTTCCATAATCTCAACTCTGTCCAACCCCTAAACCCTTCCATCCATCTCAACTCCAGGCTTAAGTCAATGGACTCAATTCTTGCACCCATTCATACACCACCACCCTCTCTCTTTCCTCTCCTCCTTTTCTTCTCTCTTTCCCTACCAATTCCACTCCACCCAACTCCAAACACCCCCACCCACCCACCCAAAAAAGAAAAAAGAGAGAGTCAAACCATCGTCTACAGGTGACAGTGATCACATGTTTGTGCTGCCTGATCACGTGATCCGGTCTGCAGTATCACGGGAGAACGTCATGGGTCTGGAGGAATGCTATAGGAAAGTTTGTAAGGTGAGCTTCATGCGCACCGTATTATCATGTTTATAGTGCTGGTTGTAAGAGGCGACTAACAGGATGGGGTAGTCAGGCTTGCTGACTTGGTTGACACATGTCATCGTATCCCAATTGCGTAGATCAATGCTCATGCTGTTGATCACTCAGTTGTCTGGTACAGACTTGATTATATACACACCGCCACCATATAGCAGGAATATTGCTGAGTGCAGCGTTAAACAGCAAAAACTCAACGCATTCACACAACCCCAGGCTTTAGCCAATGGATCAAGAATTGAAGGGGCCATTACACTTATGGTTGGGATGGCAATATTGTCAAATATACATCATCCCATACCCCTCAGTCCAACATTAACTCCTACCTCCCCATACCCCACACCTCACAACTCAGTCCACGATTCTTCTCCTACCTCCCCATACCCCACACCTCACAACTCAGTCCACGATTCTTCTCCTACCTCCCCATACCCCACACCTCACAACTCAGTCCACGATTCTTCTCCTACCTCCCCATACCCCACACCTCACAACTCAGTCCACGATTCTTCTCCTACCTCCCCATACCCCACACCTCACAACTCACAATTCTCAGTCCCCCATTCTTCTCCTCTCTCTACCTCCCCATACCCCACACCTCACAACTCAGTCCACGATTCTTCTCCTACCTCCCCTTTCCCTATACCCCACAACTCAGTCCACGATTCTTCTCCTACCTCCCCATACCCCACACCTCACAACTCAGTCCCCGATTCTCCTACCCACACATAGCCAGCATACTGATAACACTGATCATTTCCCCCTCAATCTCCAACCTGTTCCACCCACCCAGAGCTACTTGTGTTCACTTATCAGGGTGTATATGGTTACACCACTCCCACAGAGAAAGCCCCATCAAAACACAGGTCTTTGTCGCTGCTTTGATCCTTTGTTTAATGTTTGAAGTGTTTTATCTCAGATCCCATACTTTGTTTATGATAATATGTTTCTCTCACACAATTGTTATTAACTTGTAATTACTCTAAGCCAAAGTATATACTTATCACTTCAACTGCAGAGCAAAAAGAATGTATATACACTTGAAAATTAGACTTGACAAAAAAATTACAAACCTTATCAGATAGTTACTTGGCAGGAGACACTTATTGTTTGATGGACATTCTAGAAGTAGGCGAGTCAATAATGAAGCATACAACTATATGGACTATGGATAACATCTTGTCTATTGCACAGAGTGATGTTTCAATGTAAATTCCTACACCGTTATCAAGTTCAAATCTTTTAGCTTGATAAGAATCTACACCAAAACGTATGCAATAAACAAGAAGTTGTTATCCATAAAGTTGTATGTTTCATCAGACAATTTAATCAATGATAACAATGTTCACAAATCAACTTCAAATCTGACACAATGGCTGGCTGGCTGAGTATGGTTTTACGTCGTTTTTAGCAATATTCCAGCAATATCACGGTGGGGGACACCAGAAATGGGCTTCACAAGTTGTACCCATGTGGGGGAATCGAACCCGGGCCTTCGACGTGACGAGCGAACGCTTTAACCACTAGGTTACCCCACCGCCCCCTGACACAATGGAGTTGATTGGGAGTTAAACATTGGCCATGATTCCAGACTAAATACTGGTCACTCGATACATTACTTGCAACATTTACATGTAGAAGGGAAATTAACACCTGACAGCGAAGCTTGTAATTTATATTTTAACAAGGTTCCTTGTACAGATAAAACATACAAGTGTACAGTGGGAATAACTAGAAGCACCCATAAAATCTCTATGACGTCAATGAGTAAGGAAATCATACAGAATCTCCCTATAACTATAAGTGTGTCAGTTAGCTTTGGAAACTGCTGCTTTTATTAATGAGATCGCAAAAGTTAAATATTTTCCTCTTTACTTTTATGCAGTGATTTTAATGATAAGCATATGTCAAAACCTGTCCTGAATATGTGCTTGAAATGTTTCTGAAAACCTAACCATGTACAAAAAAGGCACTGTGAAAGATCTTTAAAGCAATGGGGCTCCTGCTATCCTGGGCAGGAGTCCCTATATGTAACAGGGATTTCTGTAATGAAAAGATAATTAAAAAAAAAAAGTAACATCCCATATTCTGAGATTTAGACAAGTACCTTCATTAATAGACCTGCAGATCCTTCATCACGGTCTACTAGCCTCAAAACTTCAGAAAGCAAACACGAATGAATTTTCACACCACAAATATCTTAGCGATCATAAAGCAACAACTTGAAGTTATAAGGTGATTATTATAATTACTCCCAACTTTATTGTCCAGACTTTTAATTAATGTGGTCTCACATATGTTTACATGTCACCAGGGGTGGAAATAACTTTAAAATTGCTAGTGTACTCCGGTACAGTGGCACATGTAAAATCACTTGCCCTGATAATTTTTCCACTATACTGGCCATTTTCTTGTTGATTTTTTAAATAAACAACATAATTAACATTGGAAAGCCAACTGGACACCGGTACAGTGTGATATACAA